TTATAATAGAAATATTGCTGAAACATAGAAGAACGGACATAATACCTCCTTAGGACCACTTATTCTCCTTTATTTCAAGAAACTGGAGGATGTGTGCAGAATTTGCCTGTGTTTCCAAAATAAAATACAGAGACCTGGACGTTTGGGAAGTGATTCTGTAACTACTGCCCCCACCCAAACGCATCATGGAAAGGTGCATCCAGATAATAAAGGTGCTAAAGGTCAGGAGGAAGTCAAATCCTAACTCGACCCTTTCTGGCTGCCTACATGTCTGTGTAAGTATGAGGATTGTAGCTTACCCACTCACACCTTCATCTCTCACACCCCTCCTCCTCATCCTCACCTCAGCCAGTTGAGTGAAGCCAACAAATAAACCTGATTCAAATTAATTACTTCGTCTTCATTAGGGTTCAGGCAAACAAGTGAAACACTTTTTGAGAAGAACTTACAGGTGTCTCTGCAGTAAACCAGACATGCAATTAATCTGAAAAGACAACCGAATACATTTTCATATCATACAGTGGTTCCCCACACAACAAGAGCACAACCACCAGCAGCACGCCTGTGAGATTTATGTATTTTTATTTTATATAACCAATTTCCAGATAAAAGAACTATTATTAATAGTCTGTCTAGCAGCGCCACCACATGGAATGAATTTGTAGATGTTTTTTAATTTAATTTGTTGTCTTTAACATATCCAAAATATTAAATATTAGAAATGATTATTTCACTATAAATAAATATGGCGTTTATCTGCATTGACCAAATGCAAAAAAACTTCATGGTACTGTACAATTGCACGATATAAAAGCAATTTCTTGAATATGAATAAACCGAACTTCGAACAGAATAGAATAGAAACAATGAATGTAATCCAGTATGATGTTTCACGTTATGACGTCATTATGCACCACAGTGGTGCAGAAAAGGAACTTTTCCTGGTGTGTTACTGATGAGGTTTCTTTTCAACATATTCCCAACCACACACAATTTGTTAGACATACCTTTACATACAGTTATCAAAGCATACCTGCATCACAGCTTAAACCGTGTGTCCTTGTCTTTCTTGACTCCAATGAGTCCAAAATAAGTTATAGAAAATACCGTTTAAACTTTCCCGACAGCTCATTGCAAGCATTTTAATTAAGTAAAAGTCAGAGGGACTTGACAGATCAGTGCGTTCATTTCTAAACTGAAGAAAAGAAAAATATGACCCGCTTTCCATTGTTTAGGCATTGTATTAATCGGAAGACTGAGAGAATCTGTTCATTTCTCTTTTTTTTTTGACAGCTATTATTATTGCAAGAAAATGACATACTGTAGCTGTGGGAGACCGCATCGCCTATCCCTGGCGTCAGCTCTGGAGTAAATCTAGCTCATTGGGAATAGGACAGTGAAGAAGCACTGCATAAATCGTTAAAACGCGCGTTGTATAAAATATGCTAGCGCTCAGCCTTTTTCGAGACTTTAAATCGGAGCCATGTTTTCCCTTACGACTATCGGTCGGGAGAGCGTTTCTTCAAGCCTGGCCCGTATGTTTTAAACCCTGAAAGCTATTTTTCTTCAAAGCAGAGATTAAGGCCTTAATTACCCTCAAGTTGCGTTTGTGCTAATCGATTTAGCAAAAAAAAAAAAAGACCTATAAACCGTTCTGTTTTGTTTTTAATGCCATGTGATCGGGGGTGTTAAGGGTCTGTGCCAGTTTTATTAACAGGGCCCTGGTATCCCATCCCTGGAGAGAACCGGCCTGCAGTAGTGAAGTTGCCTAGCAGCGGAGACAAACATGCATAAATAGTTACGCAATGTACCTCCTTGTTTAAAGAATAAATCGCTGTAATCTGTAAAATCTGCCCGTTTAAGAAACTGTGCATTCAGACTACCCAGCTATTGTGCTGTTGGGTAGATTGGACTTCGCAAAAAAAAAACCTGTTAAACCACTTAATGCTGGAAATACTAGCAGATCTTGTGTTTCCGAAGAATTACGCTCAAGAGCACCTAATAGCATACAGATGTGGTAATAACAAAAAAGGAAAATATTACATTTTTCCCCAAATAAAAAAAAAAACTTTCAAACTCAGACAACAATTACAGAGCTTTCTGACCATGTGATAGTGGGAGGTGAGGTTCGTCCTGGTGTAAGCCCGTTTATTTTGCAAACCCAGGAAGTTGCATGGAAATGACAAAAAAATAAATAAACCATGAATGTCGGAACTGAGCGTTTAATGTACGTAGCACCACGGAGCTCTCCGTTACACAAGATGTAGAGTGTGCACTGCTTGCTAAAGGTGTTAACTTTGCTTTTCCGAAATTAAAGGAGCTGCCGGCCAGCGATGCTGTTACGTCAGGGCGAGTCTGACTGTAACCCGATCCCAGCAAATGGGACGCTGAGATTTTGGGAAGCGAGAACAAGATGGCTGGTTTGGGAGAAGGGATTGTTTTTGTTACCTATTAAAAGTACAAACTGGATGTAGATAAAAAGAGGAAAACGTAATACGTCGGACTTTTCTTTTTTTGGTTTTTATTTGCTGTATAAGAGGACGTAAAACGTGCGCGTAAAATAAAACTCAAGTTATCGCTGAATGAGGATTTGCGGTTAAGTTGCTATTTCGCCTCCCCGTCGTTGCTATGGTTCAACCGATTGGTAAAAAAAAAACCCCACTCAACCTGATTTTGTTAAAGTTTTAAATTACTGCTGCCTATTCGGGCTATTGCGTCCGGCAGAAAAGAAAACCGTCGGAGATAACAGCTGTCATAGCAGGGCTGCCTACGAAAGTGTCGGTGTGGTCTTGGAGAAACGACCCCTCTGCAGCTGAAGAAAACTACAGGAGGCACAAACGTGGAAAGTGTAGTCCAAACTCTCCGGGGTGTTTTTTGTTTTTAATTTAATTGAAATCAAAACGCTGCTCAAGTCAGGGTGCGCGGGGGAGAAAAAAATATAAGTTAAAAAAAAGTTGAAGCGTTTCATTTTTTAAAAAAAAAAAAAGTCACCGCGGTTTCATTATAGAGGTTAAATGCGGAGCTGCTGCGGCGGCAGGCAGGATGAGTTCGAGCCGAGTCCGACCCCAGCAGCGGCAGAGCCAGGCGGGCAGGTTCGCGGGCAGCGCCGCCGGTTCCTCCGGCGAGGGCATTGAGATGGAGAGGATTCATCACCACGACCTCGGACTCGGGGGCTCCGTGGGCACGCCCTCGCCTTCCTCCTCCTCCTCTTCCTCCTCCTCCTCCTCCTGCTCCCGGCAGGCGTGGAGCCGGGACAACCCGGGATTCGAGCCCGAGGAGGAGATGCTGGAGGCGGACTGGCCGCCGGCGGGCCCCGGCCGCAGGTCGGTGTCCGCCACCTCCAGCGGCAGCAGCAGCAGCGGTCTGGGAAGCTACAACGGCGGCGGAGGAGGAGGAGGAGGAGGAGGGGGCGGTGGACATCGGATGCAGCGGGGTCTGTACCCGACCCCCACCGTGGAAGTCCTTCAACACCAAGACAGATCCGGTCCCCGGGGCTGTGGGAAACGGATCCTGGAAAAAATAAGAAGTGAGTCCCGCAGAGGGCACTTGTCCAGGGGGGGATCAGAGAAGCGGTCAGGTTCAGAGCTCCGTTTCACTTGTAACTGTAAGGAGGATCCTTCAAGCCGTCTTGGGAGACTAAAAATGTTTCTTTTGTGGTGTTGTTGTTGTTGTTGTTGTTGTTGTTGTTGTTGTGAGTCAGGAGATGCCTTGGATTTGTATATTTGGCAGCTGGCTCGGAGGACTGCAGACAGAGTTTACTGTAGTAAAAGGTGGTAGCGCGCATGTTGAAACTATATGCGTGATGTGAAAGCACGTGTTTAACTAGACGGTAAATACACGATTGCTTCAACCTGCCCGCCCCAATTCGTGAGATGAGAAGTGTTTCCATTATTTAAGTGGGACATTTAACTTCTAGGACATTTAACTTTCTAGGTTGGTGATAATGTGAAGGATTCAGAAATGTCAGCGACCTCTCAGAGCAGTCTTGTGGGTATTTATGGATATCTCTGCATTCTAATCATTAAAAATAAAGTGCTTTTAGCTTTATATATCCTAGTTCATATATCACAGAGGCAGTGTTATTATCCAGACCCCTTTCTGTATCGATCGTATAGGAATGTAAGGAAAACGTTATTAATACAAAGCGATAGCAGCCACATAAATCCAAATGAGTAAGACGTACAATATGAAATAAGACAAATTTCATCGTTTAAAGTAATGCAGGTTCTCTTAAAAGGATAAAATGCAAAATAAAGTGAAAAGTTCCTTATCAAGATTAAGTGAATCTGAATTGATGTGTATATATGCAGTGTATACTGTATAGTAAGCGGTGGATTTGCGTTTTTGCGTTGATTTTAGTTCTTTGGGGAACACGACTGATGGTGGACAGCAACACCAGCCGAGAGAAGTACCTGAAGAGTGTCCTGCGAGAGCTGGTCACCTATGTCATGTTTCTGGTCATCCTGTGCATTTGTAAGTACACTACTGCCCCCATGGGGTGACAGTCGCGATCAGTGACTTGGCAGGATGTTGCTTTCTAGGACTGGTGACAGGAGTTGATAATACAGTACAGCGTGACAGGAAAGCATTTTCCTACAACAAGTAAAATGGCAGAGGAACACGGGTACACATCCCATGGACAGACAGGTAGTTGTGAAGTTCTAAGTGTGATGGACTGTTTTGGATGAAACTTTTAAGTCATATTTCCAATCATTTAGCTGGATTGTAGGCAGCTGGAAAGGGGCGTCCATTTTTACACATTATCATCTGTGGGTGTGCACACATCAAGTGCGATGGCTCTGTGGCTCAGGATCTGCGCCTGAGGCTGGAAGGTTGCCGGTTCATATCCCGCAGCCGGCAGAGGAATCCTACTCGGATGGGCCCCTGAGCAAGGCCCTTAACCTCAACTGCATCAGGGGTGTTGTATAAATGGCTGACCCTGCGCTCTGACCCCAAGCTTTTTTCCCTGTCTGTGTGTCTCATGGAGAGCAAGTTGGGGTATGTGAAAACTCAAATTCCTAATACAAGAAATTGTATATGGCCAATAAAGTGATCTTAAGTAGAGAGCAGCTTGTGTGTTTGAAGAGAGATCTGTGTACTGAAGGAAACGGAAGATGTTTCTGGCCAGTTTTCACTGCCGGGCAATTCAGCATTTACCACTGAATGAGTGATAGAAAGCTGAATTCAATCATGGATAATTCCTTGAATTCATATAGCGCTTTACATCTCAACAGATTCTGCAGTGCTTTACATATACTGTAGGAGAGGACTTCATCCACAGCTAAAGAGCAGCTTGGTGACATATGGTAGACATTATGTACCAGGTACCTGTTAGCTGCACAGCAGATGATGTTCGAAAGTTTAGAAATTACTTTCAGCAGTTGAGTAAAGTGGGAACTTTGGGAAGAGCTGTTTCTGCAAGCCCAGTGTACCAGGGCATCGAAGTTACCAACTATCCCCTGCTCTGAGGAATAGTGCTATGGGATCTTTAATAGTCCAGACATCTCATTTGACCACTGAACGTTCTTACAGCACAGTAATTGGTTTAGAAGGAAGAGCACTGGCTACTATTCTTCCAACACCACCTAATGGCAACAGCCTAGTTCTTTAACTGTCTCCTGGTCTGGTACTGACCAGGCCCAGTCTTGATTTCCTTCTGAGATCTGAAGAGATCAGGGTTGAAGGTGGCAGTGTTGTTTTCGTATGTCCGCATTTTTTTTATCCCTGAACAAGTTCTAGACTTGATAATGTGTTTCTCATTCAGAATGATGTAGGGCAGGATCTGGAAACTGCAAGTAATATTGTTACTAATCCTACGGTATTACTGAACAGCAGGCAAGCACTTTGTGGTCGTAACCTTTAATGTAGAAAACAGCGTTACCAATGTGGTCTTGGTGCTGTTGCAGAAGAAATGTCAGCAAGTAAGAGTGCTGCCACTGGTGCCAGGGGTTTTGGGCGGATCGGGAAAGTATTTCCTGACAGACTTGGATGTGTCGTTGGGAGCCAGGGATTTCTTCTACGGAGAGACATTTTTATTCAAGATGGTCATATTATCCTGGAAATGCTTTTGCATATTAAAACGCCTCCATTTTTTAGTTTGATGATTTTATGAAAAGTCTGTGGCAGCACAGACACGAGATTTAGTCCGTATTTTGCTTTTATTTTCTTCGTCCCATTTATCTCGCCAAAGGAAAAGGCGATTGCATGCCATTCCTGTTCTTTTAGCAAGAAACAATCCCTGTTCCCTAGTTTAAAATACATTAGAAGGTGATTTTTCAAATGTTTGCCAAAACATTATTTATCGGGGCACACTAAATTCACTGAGCTTGTTAACTGAGTGTCCTGTTTTAGTTATAAAGGTTGGTTCCTCTCAGTTTAACTGAGAGGTTTTCCTAATTGTTTAAACATTAATGAGTTAGTTAACTGGGTCAGTGAATTCTAAATGATGATTAACTTGACTTTTGATATATTTGAGTCACAAGACAAGCAGTAAAAGAAACTGAGAGTTATAATATAGTTTCTTTTGTTTGAGAATTAGTGATTGTTCTTCGGTGTGCTTCAGCGAATACATTTGGGGATAATATACTGTAACGTATTTTTGAAACTTACTTTGGGCAACATAAATTACTCTCATGTATAAGATAAATATATTTTTTAATTATTATTAACATCACTGCTACATTTTAAAGTGGTTCAATTTACAGAAACATCTTTCATTGATTGTGTTGACATGTGGATGTGTCTGGCTCTTTAAATTTATAGAGTTTTATTAATAGCAAGGAGCATAAAACAACCTAGAATATTTCCACTTTTATCTTTCACTGTTGTGCATAATTTTATTTTACTATTGGAATCTTTTGAGTCACGTTGCTGAACGTATTTTCCAGTGACTTACGGGATGTTGACCTCCAGCTTGTACTACTACACAAAGGCCATGTCCCAGCTGTTCCTGGACACGCCTGTATCAAACACGGAGAAGACAAACTTCAGAAGTTTGGCTAGTATGGATGACTTTTGGAAGGTACACCCTGTTTTTCAGCTTTTGTGGTTTTTGATTTCTGCCTAAAAAGTTTAATGAAGGGTAAAAAAAAGATTGCAATGTTATCTTGTCATCTCTCTCTTTTATTGTGAAGTTTAAAGGCTACTGTATAATTCACCCTAACTCTGCCTGATGTAGTTAGAGTCTCACTAGATGTAGGAAATAGCAAGTACTGTTATCAGTTAGTGCTCAAACGTGTATCACTACGTGTTTTGTTTCTTCCTTTGGTCTCACCAAACGAAAGCTGAAAAGCGTGGCAATTCATGAATTGCAACATTATACGAGTCTTGGAAACGGGGGGAAAAAAAACACCGCGCAGAGCAGACGAAGGAGTTGCCCGTTTCTCTCTTCCTAGTTCGCCGAAGGCCCGCTCCTAGACGGCCTGTACTGGGATGTGTGGTACAACAACAGGACCCTGCCGGAGAACCGGAGCTGGATTTACCACGAGAGCCTGCTGCTCGGGGCCCCTCGGCTCCGGCAGCTGAAGGTGCGCAACGAGTCGTGCGTGGTGCACGAGGATCTGAGGGACACCGTGCAGGACTGCTACGGCGCGTACTCGCCCGGTCACGAGGACACCTCCCCCTTCGGCCTGCTGAATGGAACCGCGTACGTACGAACGCGCCTGGTCTCGCGGCCGCCGCTGGGCCTCGGGGGGGGGGCTCCGAGACCGGCGTTGGCCCTCGCCTTCCCGCGCGTGCCGAGTAGAGCCGCCGCATGCTCGACGTGAGGCGAATAGCGTCCAGTTTATTACTGAGCAGCGAGCATAACGAGAAGAGTATTAACGTCTTCATTCTCTTCTTGAAATATGCATGTCACCAATTTAGTTATTTGAGTCATCGGGTCGGTTTCATGTGAAATGGATATTTCAGACCGCTGATATGTTACAGATACTGAAAGTCAAGAGAGCCAGAGGTCTCTAATCCTATCTAACAGCATACAGTTCTATATACAGGGAGTGCTGTGGCTTGAATTAGTATTACATTTTCATTTTTATTTGCAAGTTTCAACTAATCAAGTTCTTATCACTGTTATTTTTCTTGGCAAATGCGTTTATCTTAAGTGATTAACGATTAGCCATTTCATATGCAAATATATACAGCTGGAGCAAAGTGTGTAGAGTCCAACGCCCAAGGGTGCAGTCGCATCACTTGCACCTGAGCATTGAACGCACAGCCCTCTGGTCAGGAATCCAGAGTCCAGATCTCTAGCCCACACCTTCAAGAATAAAAGAAGGTTGGCTGGGGTCAGTTCCCTACAGAGTGCATTAAACACGTTTGGGAAATGCTTCCCTTCTGTCTTGCGCTTCCAGACAAGCTTTGTAGTACACGCCTGCATGTAATTGCTAATTAAGCACAGCCGCGGTACTGTAAGCACATCTGTCCTGGAAACAGCTGGATCTACACCAACGAAGCGGACCTGAATGGAAGCAGTTACTGGGGCCTGATTGCGACCTACAGCGGCGGGGGGTACTACCTGGACCTTTCCCGGACCAGGGCGGAGACGGCCGCACAGATCCAGACTCTGAAAGGCAACCTGTGGCTGGACCGAGGGAGCAGGGCCGTGTTCATCGACTTCTCCGTCTACAACGCCAACGTCAACCTCTTCTGCATCGTCAGGTACACACCAGCCGCGGCCGCGGCTTAGCAGCTGACGCGACGGAAGCGCCGCTGTTCGTGTCGGGTCGACGAAAACCGGCAACTAAAACTCCCGCGGTCCGGGCCGCCTCTTGGGAGGAAGGCGGATTTGCGTTGCAGTCTGACGCGTACTGGAAAGCCGCTACACCGCGGCCTCCGTCCGCACTGAGCCGTGATGTTGTTGTTTGTTTCTTGATGTTGTAGGCTGGTTGTGGAGTTCCCCGCCACAGGGGGCGCTGTCACCTCTTGGCAGCTTCAGACCGTGAAGCTCAACCGGTACGTGTCCAACGTGGACTACGCCATAGCAGCCTGCGAGATTGCCTTCTGTCTCTTTGTCCTTTACTATGTGGTGGAGGAAGCCCTGGAAGTCCGCATTCACAAGCTCTATTACTTCAGGAACCTCTGGAACTGCCTGGACATCCTTATCATTGCGGTGAGTGCACGTTCGGTTATTGAAACGTGACCCTGTCACCACTACCTTAAAGGAATAAAACTCCAAAGCACAGGTAGTTAGTATGATATTATTTCTATTTTTCCCCCATTTTTTAATTTCTTACAAGTGTTATTTACACTGTATTTTGAGAAACCTCCGTAGTTTTAGAATGGGATTTGAATTATGATGTTGAAAGATAGTGGGTGTACATACCTGCTGTTTGTTTTGTGTTTTTAATGTTTCCAAGTTCAAATCCATGCGGAGTTCTAAACAAGAGCACGGAAGTTTTAAATGATTGTTGTGAAGCTTGGAATTTATTCAATTTTGAGTCAGTTTGTTTATATGTATATGTGTTTTTCTCTTCTCCTCACAGCTCTCAGTTGCTGCTATAGTTATTAACATCTACCGAACGGTAACAGTGAACAGCCTGCTGAAGAAGCTCTTGGAAATCCAGGATGCTTACCCCAATTTTCAGCCTCTTGCTTACATGCAGGTTCAGTTCAACAACATGGTGGCCATGATTGTTTTTTTCAGCTGGATCAAGGTACTCTTTGTTTTTATTTTTTAAATGGTGTGTATTTAATGTGCTATAGACCTGCTCAGATTCTCTAAAGGTTAAAAGTATTGTCTATGTAATAGTGGCTATATCCATTACACGAGTGCATAACAAGTCTTATTTTCAATTAAACTGCTTTTACTTTGAAGATTTTTTAATGATGAGCTGCAGAATATAATTTTTATACTACAATGCTTAGTTCTCTGAAAAGTTTTCTTGGAAGACACAGGAAAAAAAAATTTTGGGAATGGAAATTCTGTAACACTTGATACCTTTAGGGACCCTTTTTTTAACGTAAGAAAAATTGTATCATCTTCTCTTTTTTTGCAGCTCTTTAAATTCATTAACTTTAATAAGACAATGAGTCAGTTGTCATCCACCATGTCTCGCTGTGCCAAAGATATCATTGGCTTTGCCATCATGTTTCTTATCATATTCCTGGCCTATGCCCAGCTGGCATACCTTGTGTTTGGAACACAGGTGAATGATTTCAGCACATTCCAGGCATGCATGTAAGTAGCGTGTTTATAGTGTGTTTAAAGTGTTGCATCGGATGACATACACACGGCCTGCATTCAGATATGAGCGGTCAGTGGGGGCAGTTAACTTCCAAATGAATGGCAGGATCAGTACAACATTTAAAAATGTTTCTTTAATTGCATACTGCAAATGGAGATTTTAGTTGGAATATGTGTGTCGTTGTGTCTTTGCTGCTCCTCTGGATGTGAAAATAAACAGAATCCTGAATAGGTTTCTTGATCCCAGTGATCTGTAGTGAACCTGGCCCCTTACAGTGGTTAAAGGTTCAACTGACACGTGTTTTTTCTGGTCTTTCATGTGTTGCCAGAAATAATTTTTTCTTAGATGTTCTCTAAAAATTTTCAAAAATACTTTCACCTTTTCCGTGATATCAGGAACTAAATGTTTCTTTTTTAATGTAGTTTTACACAGTTCCGTATAATTTTGGGCGATTTTAATTTTGCTGAAATTGAAGAAGCAAACAGGATATTGGGACCCATTTACTTCACAACATTTGTGTTCTTTATCTTCTTTATTCTACTGGTAAGGGTTTGATTTTATTTGATTGTTTCTATTTCTTTTTTGTTTACCTGAATGAAAAATATTGAGATTGAAAGGCATGGAATTTCAGTAGTTATGCTGAGTTTTAAGAACATTTTCTCTTTTCCTTCTCTGCGTATCCATGGAGATGAAAACTTCAATTATAGTTATTAAATTACACTTTGTTTTGTGTAGTTTGGATTTTATCCCATTCATTATTGAAAGGTTCCTGGACCTGATCTCCATACAGATATTTTCTGTCAGTTCAGTATATTCTGAATGCTAATTATTCCTTATCATGAAGTTCATGTGTTGTCAACGTCTGTATAAATGTAAGCTCTCCCTTTTTACACCCTTTTTTATTGAGCTCATCAGCCATTTAATTAATAATAGACATGTTTTCTCTTCTTGCTTTCACAGAATATGTTTTTGGCAATTATAAATGACACCTATTCAGAAGTGAAAGCGGACTTGGCTCAGCAGAAATCTGAAATGGAACTCGCTGACCTTATAAAAAAGGTATTGGGACCAAGAGAGAAGAGCACTGGAGATGTGTTCATCACAGGAAGAAAATGTGTTTGTTGCTGATAGGAACTGAGTGTATTGAGTGTAATGGGAAGTTGTTGAGATAACAGTAGAATAAAATAGTTCAAGCGTCAGCGTGCGGAGGCTGCAAAGGAACAAGTAAAGGTTTATTCCATACTGACCAGAGAAGCAAAGAAACACAACGTTTTGGCTGTGGAGCCTTCTTCTTCAGTCACCTGAAGGGGGTCACTTGAAGAAGGTGTGTTTCTTTGCTTCTCTGGTCAGTATGGAATAAAACGTTACTTGTTCCTTTATAAAATAGATAACCATGCACGGGAAAGGGATGTCCTGTAACAGTATGAGAGCTTTCCTGTCTCCCTCAGGCACCAGTTCATTCTACAGATCACACAGGCGATTCTTAGGTGTTGTGAAATGTGAGGGACATACGGCAGATTCCTTTTCCTTTCACTAGGGGTACAATAAGGCCTTGGTTAAACTCAGGCTGAAGAAGACAACGGTGGATGACATTTCGGAGAGCTTGCGTCAGGCCGGAGGGAAGCTGAACTTCGATGAGTTGCGCCAGGATCTGAAAGGGTGACTGTTTTGTGTTTTGGGAATAGTGGTGGTCTTCGCATTATGACAACGATCCTCCATCTCTTCCAATCTATGCAGACAGTCTGTTGGATGCTATATCTTGTCCAGGTGCTGATGTGTCGCAGATGTCATCTTAAGATAGCTAACAAAGTTGTTCAGTGGTAGCCGTTGCTTAAAAGCAAATGCCGTCAGCTTTAATTTCTTATTTGAACTCATAAACAAGGTCCTCTATTTGTAAATCTTTGTTTGAAGTATATACTGTATGAGGAGCACCTGTTACCATTTGCTCTTTATACTCTGTTGAGTATATCTGTGTACATTAAGCTCTTTACATATTGGCTGTTTTAGTGATGCTGTTTGCACAGAGTGTGTGCTGTCTAAGCTTAGGTGTAAGCTGTAGAGTTTTTAATATAAAAAAGACATGTTTAAATTGACTAATTACTGGAATTGTTTTCAGGAAGGGACACACTGATGCAGAGATTGAAGCCATCTTTGCAAAATATGATCAAGATGGTGACCACGAGCTCACAGAACATGAACACCAGCAGATGAGAGATGACTTGGAGAAAGAGAGAGTAATTTGTGTTTTGCAAGTTTTTTTTATGGGTCATTTAGGCATTTATGGGTTTAAGGAATCGAACTGTCAAACGTTAAGTTTGTTTAATTGTTTTTATATTAAATGATATGCGCTTATTATTATCAATAATATTTGTCAAGCATGTACCCATATACAGGGTAACTTACAATATGTGCAAAGTTTACTTTATGGGAAAGTAGAAGGAACAGTTGTGCAGGTAGAGTAAGGTGAAAAATCAGTTTTACCCAGAGCAGAGCGTGTTTTGGAAGTGGGAGAATAGAGGGAGCACAGAATATCTGGAAGGAACTGGAGGAAAGAGTGAGAGGGGGTGGTAGGGAGAGACTTCATACAGGCAGAAGCAGAGTGGTTGAGAATGGTAGGCAAAAGGCCAAGCCTATGAATCAAATTAATGAAGCACGATGGAGCCGTTGGAGGGACTTGTGTAATTGAGTACGGGCTGTGCTTCTGCCGGTAATCGCATCAGATTAATAGACATGACTTCATTTTTCATGTTTTTCCATATATTTTGACTCCCACCTAGTGGGTAAGAGGGGATATAAAAATACAGCCTTTCCTGGCAGGTGTCTGCCTTCTGCCTTTCCCATCAGCTGACTTTGAATGTACCCGTGCGCTTGTGAAAGTGACATATCGGGCAGGCTAGGAAAAGGAACAGCGTTTGGGGTACCTTACAGGGTATTGAAGCCCGGGGGCTGACGTGCACTGCGCAGGTGGGGCCGCGGGGAGTGTGAGGAGCTGGGCGGGGAGTGGCTGTGACCAGGCTCCTCTGCCTCGTCCCGATGCAGGAGGATCTGGACCTGGACCGGAGCTCCTTCACCAGGCCGGCCAGCGGCCGCAGTTTCCCGCGCAGCCTGGACGACTCGGAAGAGGACGACGACGAGGACAGCGGCCACAGCTCCCGCCGGCGGGGCAGCAGCTCGGGCGGCGTCTCCTACGAGGAGTTCCAGGTGTACGTTGGGCTCGGTTGCCGCCGCCACTGTCTCGTGCCGGAACTAGCGGCTACTTCTTGCTCTGCACCTAAAATAGTTCAGTTTCAGGCCTTGACTCCGCCCACTCATCCATTTTTCATGCCCATAGACTCTTATCAGAGTAAACCATGGTTTATCTTTTATCTCCTTTCTATAACTGAGTGCTGTATACCGTCACCGGCGTTAGTTTGGCATTAAGTGAATTAAGCCAAACTTCAGTCCAGTGAGTGAAAGAGATGTCTTTATAGAAATGTAAGATGAGATCACTTTATGGGCCATATACAATTTCTTGTATTAGGAATTTGTCTTCTCGCATACCCCAACTTGCTCTCCATGAGACACACAGATAGGGAGAGCAGCTTGGGGTCAGAGCGCAGGGTCAGCCATTTATACGGCATCCCTGGAGCCGTTGGAGTTAGGGGCCTTGCTTAGGGGCCCAACAGAAGAGGATTCCTCTGCCGGCCGTGGGATACGAGCCAGCAACCTTCCAGCCACAGGCGCAGATCCTGAGACAGAGCCACCACACCACCTGTGCATTGATGTTGAAGTCTAATCTTGGGTCACTCTAGATACACAGTTCCTTCCCAGGAGTTGTCATAGCAGTGTAAACCCTTTTGCAGACTTCTGATTTTCCGATCTGTATGTTTTCCCAGCTTGGTTAGGCGTGTGGACCGTATGGAGCATTCTATTGGGAGCATTGTGTCCAAAATAGATGCCGTGATTGTGAAACTTGAAGCAATGGAGCGAGCTAAGCTGAAGAGGAGGGAAGTCCTTGGCAGGCTTCTGGATGGCGTCATTGAGGTACGTAAAACTTCAAAGGGGAACTGCAGGCCCGATTTCTTAGACTGGTGTTAAATCTCTGTAGCAAAATACAGTATAACTGACAGTATAGAAAATCAAGCACAGAATTGTGGACTTTGTGAAAGTACTTTTGTAAGTTGTCGCAAACCCCTGGTCTGGTTGTGAGCGAGAGTGAGAGTTCCCACGACTTGTGATATGATGTGGCCCTTCCTGCTCCCTAGTCACTGTAATTTCTTGTACTGCGATGTACGGGCAAATAAGTACAGGTTGTGCAGCAGACATTTTCACCGCAGGAATGTTCCAATGTGATCGGCATGCAGAGTTAACAAGGAAGTAGTATTTATCAGCAGAACTGTCTCGAAATAGAAAGCAATATTTGTTTTGGATTGAAAGAGACGCATTCACCAGCCTGCGTCTTTACAATGTCTTAGGCCCACACACGTCACTGGAGGTTTTGTCGCCTCGTTCATTGAGAAAAGAAGCCCTTTAAACATAGACAACTGTTAACAGATGCGTGGACATCGGTGCTTCGCAGAAAGTGCAGGCGTAGGGTTCCAGGTGTTTCCGTCCCAGTAGCTTTGAGGCTGTCCGAGAGGTTACAGGGACCAGCCCCGCTGACGCGCCCCGCGCTTGTGTCCCGGCCCCCCCCCCGCAGGACGAGCGTCTGGGCAGGGACGGCGACGCTCACCGGGAGCAGATGGAGAGGCTGGTGCGGGAGGAGCTGGAGCGCTGGGAGTGCGACGACGCGGGGTCGCGGGCGAGCCACCGGCTGGGCACCCCGCTGGGCGG